TTGGGCGTCCGACTTCGGCTCAGGTCATGATCTCACGGTTTGTGACTTTGAGCACCGCGTCGGGCTCTGTGCTGACAGCTCGGAGCCTGAAGCCTGCTTCGGATTCTGTGTCTCCTTCTCTCTCTGCCCCTCCCCCACTTGTGCTCTGTCTCTATCAAAAATAAGTAATAAAAAAAAATAAAAGTATTCAGATTATAGTAGAAGGCGACACTAAAAGGGGAAATGGGAATTATATGAAAAAGTGCACATTGTCCGGATCTGAAGGTGAAGAATAAATAACTCACCTGTAAGCCTTTTTGCAAAGAAGGATGATGTCCGCTGATACCAAGTAAATAAAACCGCATGTATGTTCTTTTTTAAAAGGTATTTTGGATCTAGTATTTTATCAGCTCTCTTCAAGCCACTGAATAAATTGTTTTGATGTCATTGCTTTTTTTTTTAAAGTGGCATAACAAAATATTTCTTCATTGCAGTTACATATGGCGTGTGCCAGTGGCTACAAGGAAGTGGTGTCTCTTCTCCTCGAACATGGCGGGGACCTCAATATAGTAGACAATCAGTACTGGACCCCGCTCCATTTGGCAGCAAAGTATGGCCAGGTGAAGTGATTTCCTAAATTACTTTGAAAAAACCTATAATTAACGTATCATTTCGTATCTAATTGTTGCATTTCAAATTGTGTACTACATGTGTGACTTTTAATGGCATCATATTAGGAAACGAATAGTTTTACGGTTCAAAGAAAACATCGTCTTTTGGAAGGATACATAAAGCATACATTCTCGGGATTCTGCGTGTTGCAGTCAAAACTGTTGGATAAATGATACACGATTGTAAACATTTTGCATAGAGTGGACTTGTTATTTTCTTAACATTTCATAGTCCTTTTCATAGCTCACAGTTTCATGAATCGTTAAAAATTCTATTTGTTCTCTACAGTTAGAAGTACAGCAAATTTGCATTTTGGTTTTTATTTTTCATGTAAATTACATTTCATCTTAATGAATGAAGAAAGACTATCAGATATTTTTTCTTTGAATTGATTTTTGGCTACAGCTAATACAACCTGAGTCACTAGTGCACAAATTACTTTCTCACCAGGTACCATTATATCATGAAGCAAACTGACTTTTAAATGACTTATGTAGGTGAATATGACAGCAGTGTTCATAATAATATCAAAATCTATTTATAAAATACACCATATTTTGTGTTAGAGAAAGCCTGAGTACTACTCTTTGGGAAGATAATTCAATTTTACATAAATAGGGAAGTAGAGGTTAAACTTGTTGATTCCCAAACATTGGTCTAGGGTGACAGTCACACCCCTTAAGTTAAGCTCATACCAAGTTGAGTCTCTTAGATCCTAAAGGGTATGAAAAATAGCGATCATAAAATTTGAGTACTGCAGTTATTGAAATAATGGAAAACATTTGCATTTCAATCATTTTAGAAAAAGCACATTGCTTAGGGAAAGTCTTTCAAATTAATGAAAACATCATTTGCTTTGACAACATTTCCTGTATGAAAAGGTTCATTCATTCAATAAATATTTCTAACAGGCTATTTATTAAGTACTTCAAACTGTGCTTTTAGCAAGTGAATGTTTGTGTAAATAAATGGATAGATTAAGGGACCTGAGGCTGTAGATGGTGAAGCCATTGGGTCCAGGGGCCCCAGGTCCCCTAGATCCCCCTGTAGATCATAGGAGCACTGGGGGATCAATAACCTCAGTACACCATGAATACACCCGTGCTTCATTTCTAGCACCGTGGCACACTGGAAAACGCTGGGTGAGAGGTTTTGTCTTTAGTAAAACGTAGAGAAGTGAACATATAAGCAAGTGCTATTTCCTAGAACACTACCTGTTGCTCTGAGCTGAAGAAATGGTAATCAGTGAATTATCAAAACGTGCTTATTGTAGTCAGGGATCCCTCTGGAAGGAGCTAAATCCAGAAGTGAGGGATTGATAGCTTGGTAAAATGTAACAGAATGCTACCACAACTTAATTAATTAAGGCTTTCATTTTACCCAATTTTTCAACTTTTCTGATTGGACATTTAGATCAGGTATCATTTCAAGGAATAATAAATTGTTTTCCTTCAACTGCTTTTATTGGATAATGTGCTCTGGGGCAATAGGACTAGATTTAACAAGTTTATTTATTTATTTATTTATTTATTTATTTATTTATTTATTTATAGTTTATTTAGAGAGCGAGCAAGTGGGGGAGGGGCAGAGAGACGGAGAGAGAAAATGAATCCCAAGCAGGCTCCCTGCTGTTGGCGCAGGGCTCAATCTCAGGAAACCTGTGTTGAAATCAAGAGTCAGACGCTTCGCTGACTGAGCCACCCAGGTGCCCAATTAGCAAGTTTTTTTTTTTAAAGACATGCCTCAGACTAACTACATCACCTCTTCTCTTATTGGACATTTAAATTGTTTTTATCAGAACCCAGTGTGTGGTTTTTGTTTTACTTCATTGTGGGTCAAATGAAATATTTGGTAGGAGTTGGGGTATTTTGTTATTGTATTTCTCGGTTCTGTGATTTCCATTTGGCTTTTTTTTTCATTGTAACTTCCATGTCTTTGATGGACTTCAATTTGTTTCAAGAGGATTTGTAGTTGCCTGTTGAAACATTCTTATGAGAGCTGCCTTGCCATCATCATCAGATGGTTCCCACACCATCCACCTTGCTCTTGTTGCCAATTCATCATCTTGTCTCTTTCAAGTTGTGATGTACTGATCTTGGCATGGTGAGAGGTTTTTAATTGCATTTTGGACACTTCAGCTATTATGTTAGGAGACTCTTGGTCCTACGTAAATCTTCTGTTTTAGTCAGCCTGTTTAAGTTCAGCCTGCAAGGCCTGGTCTACTTGAGTGGGTTGTGGTTCCAGTTCCAGTTTCATGTTCAGACCCCTTGAGTTGTCATTTTAGTCCACTTGGCTTATCTGATGCTCCTGGTGTTCTCACTGCTTTCTTCTAATTCTCCCAAAGGGTGGAAGAGGTTTTCCCAAGCCGGGCTACCCCATGTCTCTGGGTGAGGTAGGTGGATGTCCACAGGGACAGAAGACTTTCAGGACTGGGGGCCTGTTGGGGCATTCTCCCTCTTGCAGGCACCCCCTCCCAGCTGTGTTTGCCTCTCGTTGGGGAGGGGAATCTCAGCAGGTTGGAAGAAAAAGTGCTTGATCTGGCACTACATGTTAGCAGATCATGGTTCTGGACTCACCTGCTATTGCTGGAGTGACACAGTTGGAATGTGGGAGGGATGCATCTACCCAGGCCCCTCTCTGTCCCTAAGTTGGTCTGGGAAACACTGGGTCTGGGCTAGCCTTCGGTTACCTGGGATTCCTCCCTTCCGCAGGCCCTGAGCCAGTTTCCCTGTCTCCTTGACTATTCAGACCTCTTCCTGGGTTGCTTATTATTTCCAGGGGTTATATATTTTTTTAATTTTTTAATGTTTATTTATCTGAGAGAGAGAGAGAGAGAGAGAGAGAGAGAGAGAATCCCAAGCATACTCCACACTGTCAGCACGGAGCCCCCATGAATTGTGAGATCATGATGTGAGCCTAAATCAAGAGTCGGATGCTCAACTGACTGGGCCACCCAGGTGCCCCTCCCAGGGGTTATTGTAATTGGCAGGGAGGATGTGGAAGAAACCAGGCTAAGTTGGTATTTTTTTAATCTTTTTTTAATTCTTTGTTTAAAGTTTATTGATTTTGAGTGAGAGAGAGAGAGAGAGACAGAGAGAGAGGCAGTGAGAGAGAAAGAAACACAGAGAGAATCCCAGGCAGGCTCCACAGTGTCCACAGGAAGCCTGATGTGGGGCTTGAATTCATGGAACTGTGAGACCACGACTGGAGCTGAAACCAGGCATCAAGCGCTTAACTGACTGAACCACCCAGGTGCCCCTAAGTTGGTATGTTTTAAAGTGATGAAGAAATTAATTTATGATTGTTTTCACATGAAACCCATCTGTGGGCAGAAGAGAAATGAAGGTGCATTTGTATAACTTCCATTATAAGGTGTCTGTGGGGATCTTTGGTTCTACATGTTGAGTATGGCTCAATGTGACCAATTTCTGACTCCAAGATCTATTTGGTAAGATCATCTAGACATTTCTGTTCCACTTCCTGGAAGCTATGTGGTTAAGGCAGAAAGAATGCGTAGCTTTCAGAAATTATATCCCTCAAGCAATCAGATGTAGCTCCTGATACTTTTCTCAGTTATGGGCCTGCAATTTCAGAGGCCAAGAGTTTGTATGAAAATAAGGAACTGACATTTAAGAGGTTCATGGGAAACCCTCCACTGCAGAAAGGGGAAGTTCTGCCCAAGAAACTCCTTTTTTTAAAAAAATTTTTAATGTGCTTATTTATTTTTGAGAGAGAGACAGAGCATGAGCAGGGGAGGGGCAGAGAGAGAGAGAGACACACAGAATCCGAAGCAGGCTCCAGGCTCCGAGCTGTCAGCCCAGAGCCCGATGCGGGACTCGAACTCACGGACTGTGAGATCATGACCTGAGCCGAAGTTGGACGCCCAACCGACTGATCCACCTAGGCACCCCCCAAGAAACTACATTTTTAAAGGCCTACAATTAAGCTTTATTTGATGATAAGGTGGTAAAAAACAGGATACGAGTCAGATAAAATTTGTATCATGGAGAAAGACATGTTTTCTATAACCTTGATACAAGACTAGTGAATATATTAAACTGATAAAACAGGTTGGCCATGTGGTAAGCAGATTGGCATTTGGTTTTAGTAATTGAAAGTAGATTCTTTTAAATGTTAATTTACACAGTTACCTTTAACAAAAAGAAATGATGGCTAACAGATATACCATTTGGTATATATCAACATATATACAAAATTATGATTAACCTATATACATATGTTCGGTATAAGATACATAGCATGATACCTTGTGTGCCTTGGTGATTTAAGAAACACGAGCCCGGCACAATTACCGCTGCCTTCATAAAGCTTGCCAGTGATTCCTGTCACACACAAGCTGTAAGATAACGGGATGGCTGGCGAATAAGGCAGGGAGAGTTCATGGGTATTAGTACTCTCACCCCATTATCTGCCATATTTGAACAATTTGTCAAACTTTGGGTTTTCTGAGTCTTTGTTTTCAGCCCAGAGAAACAGTTATGAACTTAATGTGGGAAATATGATTCAAAGCTACATTTCCTTTGCAAGATGCAGAGTAATTCAGCTTGATGTTTTTATTCCTACTTCTCCGGTGCCCCAGTGATTTTCCCAACACTCATCATTTACTAGTGATAAATGAATGGAGAAACAGTTTCCAATTGCTCAATTTATTCTTTCAAAACCAGCTGAAAAATATTTGACCCCAACTTTTAAAAAAAAGATGTATATATTTTTTGTTCTTGCCTGTATTTCCTGGACACTTCCCTGCACAAGCACCTATATTCCATTCTTCCCATCCAAGCGATTAAGCCAGTTTTGTTCTGAGGACTCCCATGGCCTCCTCCCTGGCTCTGGACCCAGCTCAACCACTCACTGGCTGTGTGAACATAACAAGCCTCACTAATTTTTCTTCCATAGAGTCTGGCCCCAAGGTCTTCAATCAATGGCA